GAAAGGAGCACTTGGAGTTCCTATTCCCACAAAATATCCTCCCAAGCCTACACCTCCTTTCCTGGGGAGGCTTGAAAAATAAACAAGGTGATCACAAACCAGACCCTTGGGTTTGTAGGACATTAAAACCCAATCAGATTCTTAAAAAACAGAATTTTATTATAAAGAAAAAAAAAGTAAAAGAAGCACCTCTGTAAAATCAGGATGGAAGGTAATTTTACAGGACAATCAGATTCAAAACACAGAGGATTTCCCTCTAGGAAAAACTTAAAAGTTACAAAAAACCAGGGATAAACCTCCCTCTAGCACAGGGAAAATTCACAAACTAAAACAAAAGATAAACTAACGTATTTCCTTGCTTTACTTACAGTTTTTGTAATCTAGATGCTTAGTTCAAGTAGGGCTTTGGGAGATGTATTTTCCCTGTCCTGATTCCTCACTAACCTGGAGAGAACCAACAAAGAGAACAAAGCAAAAACCTTCCCCCACAGATTTGAAAGTATCTTCTCCCCTTATTCGTCCTTTTGGTCAGGTGCCAACCAGGTTACCTGAGCTTCTTAACCCTTTACAGGTAAGGAGGGATTTTATGATACCCTTAGCTGTATGTTTATGACACCATCCTTAGAGGTTTTTAAGGCCTAGCTTGACAAAGCCCTGGCTGGGATGATCTAGTTGGGGTTGCTCCTGCTTTGAGCAGGGGGTTTTACTGGATGACCTCCTGAGGTCTCTGCCAACCCTAATCTTCTGTGATTCAGGTTAGATATTAGGAAAAACTTTCTAGCTATAAGAGTAGCTAAGATCGTTCCCGTCTATTCGACATTGGTGAGGCCTCATCTGGAGTACTGTGTCCAGTTTTGGGCCCCACACTACAAGAAGGATGTGGATAAATTGGAGAGAGTCCAGCGAAGGACAACAAAAATGATTAGGGGTCTAGAACACATGACTTATGAGGAGAGGCTGAGGGAGCTGGGATTGTTTAGCCTGCAGAAGAGAAGAATGAGGGGGGATTTGATAGCTGCTTTCAACTACCTGAAAGGGGGTTCCAAAGAGGATGGCTCTAGACTGTTCTCAATGGTAGCAGATGACAGAACGAGGAGTAATGGTCTCAAGTTGCAGTGGGGGAGGTTTAGATTGGATATTAGGAAAAACTTTTTCACTAAGAGGGTGGTGAAACACTGGAATGCGTTACCTAGGGAGGTGGTAGAATCTCCTTCCTTAGAAGTTTTTAAGGTCAGGATTGACAAAGCCCTGGCTGGGATGATTTAACTGGGAATTGGTCCTGCTTCGAGCAGGGGGGTTGGACTAGATGACCTTCTGGGGTCCCTTCCAACCCTGATATTCTATGATTCTATGATTTGGAACAGGCTTCCAAGGGAGGTTGTGGAATCCCTGTCAGTGGAATCATAGAATCATAGAATATCAGAGTTGGAAGGGACCTCTGGAGGTCATCTAGTCCAACCCCCTGCCCAGAGCAGGACCAATCTCCAACTAAATCATCCCAGCCAGGGCTTTGTCAAGCCTGACCTTAAAAACTTCTAAGGAAGGGGATTCCACCACCTCCCTAGGTAATGCATTCCAGTGTTTCACCACCCTCCTAGTGAAAAAGTTTTTCCTAATAGCCAACCTAAATCTCCCCCACTGCAACTTGAGACCATTACTCCTTGTCCTGTCATCTGCTATCACTGAGAATAGTCTAGATCCATCCTCTTTGGATCCACCTTTCAGGTAGTTAAAAGCAGCTTCAAATCCCCCCCTCATTCTTCTCTTCTGTAGACTAAACAATCCCAGTTCCCTCAGCCTCTCCTCATAAATCATGTGTTCCATGGAGATTTTAAAGAACAGGTTGGACAAACTCCTGGTTGGGATGATCTAAAATTTACTTTGTCCTGCCTCAGCTCGACTTGATGGGAGTTGGACTTGATGACTTCTTGAGGTCCCTTCCAGCCCAACATTGCTGTGATTCTGTGATAAAGTGTCACATATAGAAGATGCTGTTTTGCAAAACTGATGTGCCTGTAGTGAAGTATCAGTCTTTGGCAATCAGATGCAAACCCAAAGCCATATATTGTAAATGAAGGCATGGCTGATGGTTTCTGCTCCATTTCCACAGACAAAGGACACCTAAGCCCCTAGGAGGGCAGATGTTCCTTTGCTCGCCTGCACCCCTATGTCTCTTCAACACCTTTTTTATCCTGCAGCTAGTACCCTGTAAACTTGGAGAGCTCTGATTCCATGTTGTTGCATTTAAAGGACAGAAACCCATATGAAATTGGGCTATTTTGCTGCAGTCTGGAAAGTGAATTAGCAGAGAGGGAAACAGCATGAAAAAGTCGCCCTACAGAAAAAAAATCAGCAGGCTTCCAAACTGGGAAGGTCCCATAGGGGCTAAAATGCTAAGCATCCACCTTCTGTACAATGGCCCATATCCCAAGAGACAGGCTAGCAGCTGAGTCTGTCGGGTTGGCTGCAGATCAAACTGATGCTGCACATGCTTGGTTTAAACAATGACAGTGGGAAGGATTTAAACTCTGCTTGATGCTTTCTTTAATTTGCCCCGAGAGAAAAATTTTATTGTAGGTTTGCCTATTCTGATGAGCTTGTCATGTGACAAGGTCACTCCTGTCCATGGCTACGCAATTAGCCTTTGATTTTGCCATCTCAGCAGACTGACCCCGGCTGAACTGTTCCAGATCAATCCAAAGGTACAAGCAGTTAATGGCAGAGGTAAGTGCACCCATCTGTGTATTTCAGTGGCATGACACTTGCTTTTATTGTACAATGCTTTACACTTCTGTCCATCTCTGCTTAATTTCACCCAAAGCTCAGAACCACATACATTCTAGCAGTGAGGTTTCAACCTTTTTCCTACTGTGATGCCCTATATTACAACAGAGAAAAGTTCTGAGATTGCACTCACATCAGGGACACTTGGGTGGAAAGACAGGGGGATAAAGCGGATGGGGCTTTGGGCCAGCATGGTAGATATTTACTGAAAAGTGCTTGTATCCCTCTGGACCAGCTACGATGGTGCAGCGGGGTGAGTTCCACACTTGGCTAATAAAGAATCCTTATGATATATATATATATATATATGGGTGTGGAGAGAGAGAGACATGCACAAGGAAGACTCAGACTAATACAAGACATTGCCTAATTCAGATACCTGTTATTGAAATTATAATCCTTACCCTGTGCACTATCAGCTGTGAATTACATTGTGCTGCTGATATGGCGAACAAAGACCCGTTCATTTTGATCCAGTCCGTTCCTTATTTGTATCACCGTCAATGAAATAAGACAACATGGGAATGGCATGTCACTTTCCATTGGAATTTATTAAATAGGCAGGATTGAGTGAGTAATCTGATTAGCTAGCTAAACTACCAGCCTCAATTATAGATTAATTATGGGTATGCAGTTGACAGCTACTGTGTCAACATTTCTGTCAACGTAAGGGAGCCCACTGTAAAAGCCTCCTCTTTCTTCTGAGCCATGTTCTCTCATGTGTGTGTGCCATCTCATGTTATTTTTGAGCTCAGACTCTCTACTACAGTACAGATGTTTCTATTACAACTGTGCGTAAAGGCCTCAGGTAGGATACAGACCCCTGTAGGCCCTGTACAGAAGTACAGTAAGACAGTTCCTTCATTGAGGAGCTTACAGTCTAAAAGCACCAAATAGGAGTGGGAGGACAACTAGTGAAATGACATGCACAAAGGCACAGAGCAGGTCAGTGGCACAGCTAGGAATAGAACTAGTCAGTCTGCTCAGTTTCATGGCTGCTATTCAGTGGCCCTGCATGAAACTGACAAGATCATATCAGTTGCACTGAGCAGCTGGGGAGGATCCCATGGTCTGTTGCTCCAGGGAAGCCCTGCTGTATGAACTGCCCAGGTGAGCCCAGAGCTATCAAACTCCCAGCTGTCCTCAGGACAGGGATAGCCAGGAGAGACTTCCATACTCCGGGTGCTGTGACAGGGAGGCTGGATCCCTGTAAGTCCTAGCTTAAACTGGGGCTCATTGGAGCTAGGATCCTGGCACCTAGACCCTGCTGCAGAGCCAGGACTTTGAGGCTCCCAGCTCCAAAACAAGTAGAAGATGGAACCCTAGCTTAGCTTGCAGGGAGCCAGGCAGGTTTTCTGGAAGGGAGAGGTCTGGGAAGACCCTACCTGCCATTTGAGAAAACTGAACTGGTTTTGTGAAACATTTTGGGTTCAACAAATCAGCATATTTTGATGGAACTCTTGTCAGAAAAGTTTCCAACCACCTCTAAATAGAACCTAGGACTCCTACTTTTTATGTTGGGTTATTTTTTATATTTCTAACTACTCATTCCTGCAGTCCTCACTGCCACTCCACAGATGGAGGGATCAGGTAGGGTGACCAGATGTCCTGGTTTTATAGGGATGGTCCCGATACTCAGGGCTTTGTCTCTTATAGGTGCCTATTACCTCCCTCCCCCATCCTGATTTTTCACACTTGCTATCTGGTCACCTAGGACCAGGACACTAGAAGCCCAGGGAGGGGGTCTGCCCTCATTCTGTGCCATGCTGCCCTGCTCTGTCAAGGTGTCCTTTGCAGACTCACACAGCATGATTTCAAAGGCAAGGACCAGGATCTATCACTACCATGGAGCTTCTGCTCCTTCTCTCTTCCATTCCAGCTTCTATGAAGAAAGGGTACGAGGACTATAATGTTACTCCACCTCTTAGGAGGTAGTAGCAGACAGTGTCACTGTTGCTCTATGGAATATTCTGGGACACTAGACCCCCTTCCTGTTTTGTGCGTGGAAAGAATAGCCTAGAGGGCAAAAATTGTTTTTATTGTGTTTTAAATTGAACAAGAATTAGTAACGAGCACAACAGAAAGTGATGAGTGTCGCCGGCGAGTGAGCCACCCAACACATGGAGACAATATAATGATCCTTTAATAGCACCATTATGAGATGATACATCGCACATTGGAGACAGTTATGCTAGGTGCATGAGACAGCTCTCCAAATGAGCCCCAATATACAGCAATGCAATAGAATGCCCATTTCCACACATTTGTGTGCATACTTCAATTGACATTTGCCATTAAATGGAAAGTGGTCGGGGGAGGGGGTGCTGGGAGTCAATATGCTACAAAATGGCTTTTGCTGATGAAATAAAGTTAATTGCTGTCGAGTTCCTCCTTCATGTGCTGGTTCTTTGGCTTCTGGTCCTGTTGGACCTTCAATTTACTTTAAAAAAAAAGAAAAGAAAACAAATCATAGTTAAAGCATTCAGTGTCTCATCCTTAACAAAACCTAATCAGACACAGCTTAAGGAAGGAAACCGTGTATAAACCTGTATTCATATCAGCTACTAATTATTTTCTTTAGCATCAATATCAGTTCACACCCTGCATTGCCATCTCACATTTCTGGTGTTCAGTAAAGAGGGTCCATAATATTCCATGGCAATTGCTCACACAGGTATGTTGAAATGTCATTCCTACAAGGTCACTCTCCCCAGCAGAAGTTGGTCCAATAAAAGATACCACCTCACTCACCTTGTCTCTCTCATATGCCTACAAAGTAGTCCCTCAGACTTTTGCAAATAGTAAGACCATATAACTGGCTCCGTGGATGAGGGGAAAGCGGTGGACATGTTGTTCCTTGACTTTAGCAAAGCTTTTGACATGGTCTCCCACAGTATTCTTGCCAGCAAGTTAAAGAAGTATGGGCTGGATGAATGGACTATAAGGTGGATAGAAAGTTGGCTAGATTGTCGGGCTCAACGGGTAGTGATCAATGGCTCGATGTCTAGTTGGCAGCCGATATCAAGTGGAGTGCCCCAAGCATGGATTCACCAAGGGAAGGTCATGCCTGACTAATCTAATCGCCTTTTATGATGAGATTACTGGTTCTGTGGATGAAGGGAAAGCAGTGGATGTATTGTTTCTTGACTTCAGCTAAGCTTTTGACACAGTCTCCCACAGTATTCTTGTCAGCAAGTTAAGGAAGTATGGGCTGGATGAATGCACTATAAGGTGGGTAGAAAGCTGGCTAGATTGTCGGGCTCAACGGGTAGTGATCAATGGCTCCATGTCTAGTTGGCAGCCGGTATCAAGTGGAGTGCCCCAAGGGTCGGTCCTGGGGCCGGTTTTGTTCAATATCTTCATAAATGATCTGGAGGATGGTGTGGATTGCACTCTCCGCAAATTTGCGGATGATACTAAACTGGGAGGAGTGGTAGATACGCTGGAGGGGAGGGATAGGATACAGAGGGACCTAGACAAATTGGAGGATTGGGCCAAAAGAAATCTGATGAGGTTCAATAAGGATAAGTGCAGGGTCCTGCACTTAGGACGGAAGAACCCAATGCACAGCTACAGACTAGGGACCGAATGGCTAGGCAGCAGTTCTGCGGAAAAGGACCTAGGGGTGACAGTGGACGAGAAGCTGGATATGAGTCCACAGTGTGCCCTTGTTGCCAAGAAGGCCAATGGCATTTGGGGATGTATAAATAGGGGCATAGCGAGCAGATCGAGGGACGTGATCGTTCCCCTCTATTCGACATTGGTGAGGCCTCATCTGGAGTACTGTGTCCAGTTTTGGGCCCCACACTACAAGAAGGATGTGGATAAATTGGAGAGAGTCCAGCGAAGGGCAACAAAAATGATTAGGGGTCTGGAACACATGACTTATGAGGAGAGGCTGAGGGAGTTGGGATTGTTTAGCCTGCAGAAGAGAAGAATGAGGGGGGATTTGATAGCTGCTTTCAACTACCTGAAAGGGGGTTCCAAAGAGGATGGCTCTAGACTGTTCTCAATGGTAGCAGATGACAGAACGAGGAGTAATGGTCTCAAGTTGCAGTGGGGGAGGTTTAGATTGGATATTAGGAAAAACTTTTTCACTAAGAGGGTGGTGAAACACTGGAATGCGTTACCTAGGGAGGTGGTAGAATCTCCTTCCTTAGAGGTTTTTAAGGTCAGGCTTGACAAAGCCCTGGCTGGGATGATTTAACTGGGAATTGGTCCTGCTTCGAGCAGGGGGTTGGACTAGATGACCTTCTGGGGTCCCTTCCAACCCTGATATTCTATGATTCTATGATTCTATGATAAGGGTCAGTCCTGGGGCCGGTTTTGTTCAATATCTTCATAAATGATCTGGAGGATGGTGTGGATTGCACCCTCAGCAAGTTTGCAGATGACACTAAACTGGGAGGAGAGGTAGATATGCTGGAGGGTAGGGATAGGATACAGAGGGCCCTAGACAAATTAGAGGATTGGGCCCAAAGAAATCTGATGAGGTTCAACAAGGACAAATGCAGAGTCCTGCACTGAGGACAGAAGAATCCCATGCACCGCTACAGACTAGGGGCCGAATGGCTAGGCAGCAGTTCTGCAGAAAATGACCTAGGGGTTACAGTGGACGATAAGCTGGATATGAGTCAACAGTGTGCCCTTGTAGCCAAGAAGGCCAATGGCATTTTGGGATGTATAAGTAGGGGCATTGCCAGCAGATTGAGGGACGTGATCGTTCCCCTCTATTCAACATTGGTGAGGCCTCATCTGGAGTACAGTGTCCAGTTTTGGGCCCCACACTACAAGAAGGATGTGGAAAAATTGGAAAGAGTCTAGCTCTCAGCAACAATAATGATTAGGGGACTGGAACACATGACTTATGAGGAGAGGCTGAGGGAACTGGGATTGTTTAGTCTGGGGAAGAGAAGAATGAGGGGGGATTTGATAGCTGCTTTCAACTACCTGAAAGGGGGTTCCAAAGAGGATGGATCTAGACTGTTCTAAGTGGTACCAGATAACAGAACAAGGAGTAATGGTCTCAAGTTGCAGAGGGGGAGATTTATGTTGGCTATTAGGAAAAACTTTTTCACTAGGAGGGTGGTGAAACACTGGAATGCGTTACCTAGGGAGGTGGTGGAATCTCCTTCCTTAGAAGTGTTTAAGGTCAGGCTTGACAAAGCCCTGGCTGGGATGATTTAATTGGGGATTGGTCCTGCTTTGAGCAGGGAGTTGGGCTGGATGACCTCCTGAGGACCCTTCCATCCCTGATATTCTATGATTCTATGTTTGGCTAATCCAGACAAAACTGAAGAGATCACAGTACAAAATGTACAAAGTGACCTAAAACAGCTTTAGAGAACTAAAATTAGCAGTACAATGGACAGTCTAAAACAGAGGTGGGCAAACTACAGGCCGCAGGCCACAACCGGCCCGTGGGACCATTCTGCCCAGCCCTTGAGCTCCCGGCCGGGGAGGCTAGCTCCCGGCCCCTCCTCTGCTGTCCCCGCTACCCCGCAGTCATGCTGCTGTGCGGGCAGCGCAGCTGGCTCTGGCCGGGCAGTGGGGCTGCTAGTCCTGCTGCTCTGAGCTGCATGGTAAGGGGGCTGGGGGGGGTTGGATAAGTTGAAGTGGGGTTCTGGGGGGCAGTCAGGGGACAGGGAGCAGGGGCAGGTTGGATGGGGCAAAGGTTCTGGGGAGTGTGGTCAGGGGACGGGGAATGGAGGGGGTCAGGTTGGATAGGCGTGGGAGTCCCAGGGGGCCAGTCAGGGGCAGGGGTGTGGATAGGAGTTGGGGCAGTCAGGGGACAGGGAGCAGGGGGGTTGGATGGGTTGGCGGTTCAGGGGGGGGCGATCAGGGGATGGGGAACAGGGGGGGTTGGATAGGCGTGGGAGTCCCGGGGGGCCTGTCAGGGGCTGGGGTTTGGATAGGGGTTGGATCAGTCAGGAGACAGGAAGCGGGGGGTTGGATATGGGGTGGGGTCCCAGGGGAGGGCAGTTAGGGGTGGGGGGTCCCAGAAGGGGGTGGCCAGGGGGGTTGGATGGGTTGGGAGTTCTGAGGGGGGCAGTCAGGGGGCAGGAAGTGGGAGGGGGCTGATAGGGGGTGGGGGCCAGGCTGTTTGGGGAGGCACAGCCTTCCCTACTCAGCCCTCCATACAGTTTCATGACCTTGATGTGGCCCTCGGGCCAAAAAGTTTGCCCACCCCCAGTCTAAAAGGAGGAGCCATTGCTCATCATAACATAGTGCCAGGTTTTATGGGAAATGCAGTTAAATCAAAGGTTCCCATGAGCCCTGTACTCTTGGGTTACATGTGTTTCTGGAAGAACACATGAGCATGTCTCCAGCATGCTCCGCCAGATTTTCATGGGGTAATCATAGCCAGAAATCTCATTTCTAAGCATTTCCCTGCACACTACCATTCTATAAATTAGTGAAAACAACTGAGGCACAGACTTCTCCCAGGAAGAAAAGCCTAGATGAGCTGCAGTAAGCTACCAGCTAACAGCCACTCGCTGGCTTGTGTGAACAAGTTTGTGGCCTCAGCTCAGTTCCTCACTAACAGGTGTCCAGGTCAGAGAACTAGCACTGTAAGCAGCACTCAGTCTCAGAAGGACGGCAGGATCATGGACAAAGAGCTATTCTCTGGGCTAGGCATGGAACCCGGTGTGTAAATCCCCACCTATGTGAGGAAGTGGACATCATAGAATCATAGAATATCAGGGTTGGAAGGGACCCCAGAAGGTCATCTAGTCCAACCCCCTGCTCGAAGCACATCACCACTCCCTGGGCTATGTATTAGTTGTGGGGGTAAACACGGACTTAACCTTTGGTGCTTATGAAAGATGCCATCTTGACAGTACAGGAGAAAGCTATAGGGCCTCCATCGGTCTGCCTTTGCCTGGGAATAAATCAACAACTTTGGATCAGGCCCCCCTAACTGCAGAGTCAAAAGGAGTCTTGCCTTTGGCTTCAATAGGCTTTGAACCAAGTTTGGAGTCTCCTGGGAGCAGTAGCAATTCCTAGACATCAACAAGAGCAAATACCTATAGACACCGGGTCCAAGAGGGAATGGCACACTCTGGAAAATCATAGTAGACGGTTTCCTCCACTGCTAAATGGCAGAGAAAGTGACAAGTCTTCAGAACAGCTGGAGTGGACTATTGTAGCCACTCTCCTATTTGTCAGGACACCTGGGCTTTGTTCTCCTGCAGAAAGCAGCCTGTGGCATTCTGGTTTATAAGCAGGGCGGGGGTATCAGATACAGAGTGCAGAGATAGCAAGAGCAGATTCTGCAGGGGAAGGGGCAACAGCTGCAGGGAACTAGGATCTTTGCCGCTGCCTGCCACCTTACCCAAGTTGCATAATGGTGAAATCAAGGGCCCTTGCTCTGGCTCTCTGCCAGGATGAACACTCACTCCGAGCTCATCAATTATGCAGCAGCTCCCAGCTTGCAGA